TATAAGTGCTATTGTACAGAACACAATTTCTTTCCATGAATCAAGCTGCTTACAAAAATGAGAAAAATTAAACATTTTGAGCAATATTACTCAAATTATGAAAATATCAGCATGCAGATATAATCTGCGAGGAATATACCTAATTTTTTTACATTCTACAAGCACTAATTTTGTGATGTTTTTTTTTTTCTTCATTGTATGTATGGGGTTGGGTGAATTGTTTGTGCTTCCGCCTTTTTTCTTTAATGCAAGCATATGCTGTAGTCAGAATTTACATTTCAAAAAAGACGAGTGTAACAAATGTCGTCTTTACAGTCCCATGGCTAGTGCTTCCTCGTTTTAAGTATGGCTGTTCTAGGATGTGTTCACTTGGAACTCTAACTTTGACAGACTGACTTGGATATCACATCTCGTGACCATACTTGGTCCTTTGAATCAATGAAGCTAATTTGTACACTATTTTCTTTATAGGGGTATTTCTATGTCTGCATATCATTTTCTTGTATTGTGCTGTATTTTACTAGAAAATGTCTTTAACTTAATGTGTGTCAGCACTTGTGAATTCTGTCCTTGTTTTAAATTAATATTTTCAATAAAATTTCTTATCTAACAATATATACCGTATTGCCAATTTATTACAAAAGTAGATATTTTTCTCTAAATGTACGGCAACTTAGCTGCTATATTAGGGTCAGCAGTCAGTCTTCGTTTCTCATGCGCCGCCTAGACAGATTTTCTTCAAATCTTGTACAAACAAGAGTCGTAATGGGAGATGTGTGCACATAGATTATTTTTTGCATCATTTCTCATGCAAGTCTACGGAGCATATGAACATCACATTTGATGTGCGATTGCTACAAATCAGATTGCAAGTTGATAAATTGCTGACTTTACTATCCGTGTGCATCCTTCAGTCGGTCATTTCTTGTGCATGCCTGGACCTTTTTTTTTTCCCCCTTTCCAAAGTCATGATGCATGTGAATATGGCTTTGTTGACCTTCAACTGACAGCCATTAATTGTCCCAAAAATCAACGTTTGGACATGTCATTAACAGTTTCTGGGGCATGCCATAACGATTTCATTCAAACTTGCTCTTTATACCCGTTTCATGCATATTTGTAGTTAACATCCTAAATACTATCCCAATATTTAAACGTAGTCTGGCTATGCTTTTCATTGTTTGACAAAGTCACTAAAACTATGACTGTCATCGCTTGTTTGGGTGACACAGAAAACAAATTGTCACATGGAATTCTATTTAATGAGCCCTCTGATCTTGCACTGCCCTTTATCATGAATTAGACACTCGTAAATGTTGCTATCATACCAATGAAACCAATTGTGCTTTTATTACTTTCACCTTGTATTATTTGACAAACATTAATTTTGAATAAAAAAAAATTGTATATGAATGAATACAATCCAGTATATGAAAATTACAAATATAAAAATACATTTTTTTTGTATCAAACCGTACCTGAAATTCCGACTTGCCATACATAGGCACGCAAACAATAGAAACAAATGGCTACCAAGATGGCCACGCAATTTTTTTTGCCCGTTAATTCATCATGTTCTGCCCACAATTGTCTGTTACAAATATTATGGTTGCAATGTTTAGTGGGAGAGAACGAAACACTTGGTGACCATTCTCATTTAACACTTTCTTTGCCATATTTTTCCACCAAAATCTTGGGGCAATATTTTTATGCGTTTTTTTTTATTTAAATTTTGATCTAAATAGACATTTCCATTAGCCAGTTCTTGATCAAATATAGATATTTTGTTTTTTTTGTGAATGATGAAAAAAATTGACTGGTGTTTAAAGGGTTAAGACAATAGCCATGTGCCTTTCACGTTTTCAATACTGTAAAATACTTTATTTTTGCGCTGGAATTAATTTTCGCTGAGAAAGAGTTTTGGTTATTTTGTGGGAAGTTTTTCATTGACTTTTGATGATTGTAGAGCACAGGAAAAGAATTTTCACGGATTCATACCTTCAGCAAAAATAAATTCCAAGTGAAAATTAAGTATTTTACAGTAGCCCACATGGTTGCTGAGATCCTGACTGAAACTCACTACATCCACTGTTATTAATACTGTGGTTAAAATGATCAAAGAAACTTTTGAGAGAATGGAATGCTCATTGAGCTCATTCTCGCTTGTTTTCAATGTTGTCTTGGCAACCATCAGTATCAAGTCAATGAATCCATGACATTTTGTTTGCGTCTTAAAATACTTTGCAAATAAGTTGTACTTACTAACAATAAATCACTTCAGAATATAGTAAACTTTTTAAAAAAAATTTGTTGACCGATTAAAAAAAATACAAAATATATATGCATTATAGATATACTCCTGCAGCAGAAGTATAACATTTAAGCTGGCTTTAATGAATTTAGCTCGTTTTCAAAACTGCCAAATATCTAAATGGTGCGGAGTAATCAGCTTTAATATGCGTCAATCATTGGTCGATTTATAATATGCAGGCAGTGTGCATCGAGAATTGTGATTGGTCGAGTCATTTGAAATTTATAAAAAAAATTCTTCACGATATTCACTGAAACAGGTTACAAGCAAGATGAGGGTTTGGGTGGTTCTGAGAATCCAACTTTTAATTTCAATAAAAAATAATTGATAAAAATGACAGCATTTTCAGATTATTTCAATTGATCATTGTAATACATCGACAAATGACGTATATTCTTGGGGTTGTTTAGAATTTATTTTAGCTGGAATTAATTTTCGCTGAAAAGGCATTTTGAGTGTATGGAAGTTATTTTCACTGATTTTGGATGAGTTGAATGTGAAATATAGGAAAAAAAGTATATTCGCTAAATTTTATTTTCATAGTAAACGGCGAAATTAAATTCAAAGCGAAAATAAAGTATTCTACAGTATGTTAATAAGATGCGCACCACATATTTCTGTGGGTTCTCTTCGAGCTACTGTAAAAACATAAAACATGTGCACATAAAACTATAAAACAATCCTGTACAACCAAATTAATATACGGTATGTTACACATGTAGGGGTAATCTTGAAAGCATCAACTACTAGCCCAAAAGAAAGGTCTTCTTTGAGTTTTCGACTGTTGTTCTCACCCATTGTGGTTGCTAGGCAATATTGCCCTGATGTTTGCTCCCGAGAATATGTGCAATGTCATTCATTTGGTTGTGTAGTTGTTTATCACCTAGAATACAGTAAAATCTCTCAAAAACATTGATGTATGACTACAGATAAAAATGATTTCAATGACCTTTTCTGTCAAAAGTACTTTGTTACTAGAGGGCGCCAGTCACTGTAAAATACTTTATTTTAACTGGAATTA